CAGAAGCAATTCCGCCACATCCTCGACCCTCCCAGGCTCTACTCCTTCCACGTCGTAGCTGCTCAACAAACCCTGGAGAGCATCTACCCGGTGATGCTTCGGTTTGCCGCATCTGGACCGGTGACAAGAATGAAATGCGGCATGGGTCCGCCCCCGGGTTGCTCCGCGACCTGCAACCCCACGGGAGAATTTCCGATAACATGTACTAGCAAACAAACCCCACATGATCACTTCGACTACGACATGGTGCCGACTTTTTTCACGGTAATTCCGCCACACATGTCCGTGGATTACGACCCTCACGCCGGCGGAGGCGCCCAAGTACCCGCGGCCATCTCTATTTCCACCAAGGTGAAAAGGTTCTATTGTGTATATATCACACAGAATAAGTAACCCATCTCCGAAATAAAAACAACCTTATTAGTCACCTGCACATTTCATGTAACAACTTCGGTAGAAAGTCATGGTTCTCTTCGCAAATTTCCTTGAATCGAATCGTGACTACCCACATTTACATCTCACACGTGTAACGCTATTTACGATAACTTTTTTTTTTCTTACCTCCCTCGTCGTTGCCCGACTAAACTTGTTTTTTCCGAACGCCCTCGTGGCTTTCTTCGTACGTCAACTGCGGTCCTCACGCCAACGGCCGCGTCTAATGCCCGCTGCTATTTCCATCTGAATCGAGGTGCGTCAACAAACACTGTACCTGTCTTGGCTTATTCCTAAGCCGGGCAATAAAACAGAGTTTAATTAAATATATCTGATTGTTTGATAGGAGAACCTAGATAGAGTACGGTAACTGCGTTTTTTACCCTTCGCGTGCAGCGGGTGTTAATTCCAGTTTAAGCCATTTGTCGCTTTGCCGTCGTGTCCGTCTTCAGCGCTGTGACTCTTTCTGCTGTTGTTGTTTGAGAAATCGCCCTTCCTTTCAAAATGAGTCCAGGGAGTGTCATATCTTGCGTCATATACTGGATTCTATGCACTGCTACTGCTGTCCCAAGCAACTTGCAGTTAGGCACACTAGACTGCAACGTCCGCTGCGGCGCGATGTACACATCCTTCAAACTACTGCTGTGTCATGTACACAGCCCTTTGCTGCTGTTTAACCTTATGCAACAGACATGCGAACGGATTCCCACGTGTGTGTCACATGCAACAACATCAAATCACAACGTAATGTAGCATCGCGTTTTGCGGCTCTTGTTTTGTTGTCTCCCTCGCGCTTCTCCGTTTTGGAGTATATGATAGGATCGGTAGTTCCAAGCACCAAGCGCTTTAGAAAGTATCGACATTTCCCCGGCCAATGAGAAACTGAGACGGCGTGTGCTATCCAACTGCAAATGTTGGTGCTGCTGCACCGCCAGCAGGAAAGGATTCTCGATCCAGGTGAAATCGTTCTCCGGTTTTGCATTGCGAGATTTCTATGATGTTGTACACTAATGTGCGGTAATGACAACGAGTCTATCGCAAGAGCGAGCATCCCACCTCAGCCTCGCGCGCTCTTGCCCGTGCAGCCATCCCTCTGCTGTCACTCGCTCGTCTCTCTCGACACGAATGCGTCGCTCCAGAGGGCTCACGGATGCCAAAAACGACGGTTTCACATCTTGGGAGTTCCAACCCTGACCCGGCGCCGCGCCTTGGATGCGGCGAGATTCATCGTCGATCGCCCGAGAGAGAGTTATGCCGCTTGGATTTGGAGGGCAGATCAGATGTCTGAGGTCTAGCGAGGTCTGTGAGGTCAGACTGGAGATGTGTTAAGGTCTGACATCTGTTGCCTGCGCTCCGTCCTCGCGCCACGGCGCCACGGGTGCAGTACACTACCTTAGAGCTAGAGGTCTAGATAGCATGTACATTTTTTAGATGGAGCCTACCGTTAGTAGTGCGCTTGGCCCCCACCAACGACATGGCGACCACCATGCCAAGGGCCGGAGGTGCGGGGCGAGGACTCGCCTTCTCGCAGTACTCGCGCTTGCCGCCGTCGCAGGTTGCACCACCATCGCGCTCCAGCTGTTGGCGAGCAGCCTCAACAGCTGGCCCGGCGGGCACAAGGGCGAGGCGATGCGAGCAGAGTTTTTGACAGCATCTTCGTCCGCAACAGGAGTTGCTCCGCTGCCGCTGACTGCCCGCAGCCGCACCTCCTGGGAGCCCGGAGAGGGGAAGCAACCAGCGGGGGGAACCGAACGCCGCCGTTACGGCGACGCTGACTTGAGCCTGGCAGTCCCTGGGCACCAGCAGGGCAGGAGACTGCCGCTGGTAGTCGATCGACGGTTCACCGGTCAGAGAACAGGGCGACCACCAAAACCGGAAGAAGAGGCAAGTCTGCTGCCGGTCTGAGCATAGCGTTGTCTGCACGCCGGGGTATGTACGACCTTTACCGTTGCTGGCTAGCACTGCACTCGCTCTCGTTGCAACGCACATCAGTTGAAGCATGTTCACGCAACGAGTACACGTGTAGCCGAATGCACATGCAGCTTGAACAACACTTTTTTTTTGCATGAAAAACCAGCAGCGGCCAAGAGGTACACACTTTCTCTGCTGTCAGGGAGTCGTCCTTGTATCAGGTACATGTACAACAGAGACCATGGCGTTTCAGAAAAAAGAAAAAAAAGTGTGACCATCAGCTTTTGCTCTCGGGTTGCCGACAAGAGTGTGAGACGAGGATGGCATGATTCCCGAGAAGTATGCGCACGATGACGTAGGGGCGTGCGGGCATGGTGTACAACCCTTGCAGCAGTTGAGGTTGAGTGGCCTTCAAGTTGTGTCCTGCCAATAGCCTCTGGAAATGTTTGTTTTTTCGGTTGAGATTGTGACCGCCGCCGCCGCCTTGACTGCCGCAAAAGAGAGGGCCCCTTACTCATCTCCTGGGCGTGTCCTCTAGAAGTATGCACTGCTCGCCCTAACGAGGTTGCCTCTCCCGCGTGTTTGAAATCGAGGCAGTCCAAGCTGCAGCGGGCTTATCATTGCTCCTACCCTCTTCATTGCAGCACTTTCCTTGGCCGATTTCCTGGGAGTCGTTCGCACCTTCCCGCGTTACTTGCGCAGAGTCAGAACCTTTGGTGCTCGAGTTCTTATCGTTTTCGTGGTTTAAGTTTGCAGTGTGGCCTCGACAGCTGGGCTTTCATATGTCCGTTGGTTGGGGATGGTAACTTGAGGTAGATGTTCGATGTTGATGTTGGCACGGGCGTCAGACACCCGACCGAATGGGATGTTTCACGCCCGGGCCTGGCCGTTTCGAAACCCCACACGCCTTAGTTCATGGCCTCGGGACAATCGTACTCGGCAGTCTTTCGCTAGCAATGGTGTGGGTCGGAATCACATGGGGTTTGGGGTACGTACAGAGTTTGCAAGCATGATGATGGCGGGTTCTTCCAATATGCATGAATGCACATCTCTCTCGCTTTCTCTCTACGGTGTCCTACCGAAGTCGGCTCATCTCCCGAAGCAGGAATCTGAGATCCGCAGTCGGGACAAATATACCTTCAGCCCGCAGTGCGAATTCAACTCCCGAATCGGTGCTACAGTCTAGTATCATATGTGTAGCATTGAAATCCCGGCCTCGTGCAACACCCCCTCCGTTTTGTCATTGGTACGGTCACACCAACAACAGCAGCCCGGTGAGATCCTCACCAACACTCCGACCTTTGCATTCATTTTGCCCCGACACAGGTGCCCCACCGCCCCCCCGCTTCCCCGGAGGGGCCCTTCGGATGGGGAACTGATTGGGTGGCGGGTGTGGGAACTCCCGCTGCCGGCGGGAGGCACGCGGAGGATATCATCGAGCCGGCTTCGTGCTACTCTTCGGCTGGGGACCGGGGCTTCACGAACGACGTGATGAGCAGACGGGTTAAACGCCATCAGAACGCTGACGCTTCGGATCGGGTGCGTTTTCTGTTCTTGGGGTGGTATGGAGGCCCTGATGATTTTTTCTGAGTCACTTCCTGCGTGAACTTGGTTGCACATGGAGGAGGCCTTGGCGGTTTTGCTGTGTTCCTTTCTGTGTTAGTGGGGGTATACATGCACATTCTAGATTGGCGTGTGGTTTCTTCTGTTAGTCGCGCACGAGTCATGATCAACGCATATCCATCGACCCTTCTCTTTGTCTCTGCCTCTCTCTCTGCGGATTGATTTCTCTGTCAGTTTGATGTTCATAGCGGCGGCCCCGCAATGAAACAGGGGGTGGGTACCGTCTACCCCGCAGACTTGGCTTGCTCCAAAACCTTTCACCACCTCCCGGGTTAGGGGAAAGCTTTGCTTAGCCCTCCCGTCTGGTCTGCTTCTCGCCATCGTTAGAGGGTTGCGTGAAGAGTCCAGCATGGTGCTGTCCAAACTGAGAACGCTCGCCGTCGGCACCTTTTATTTTTGTTTGTTTCACGGTGGTCAGCGCTGGGATTTGGGCATCACGATGACAAGGCCACTGCGTCATGGATCTTGCGAAGCACGCCGCCTCGTTGCACCACTGTAGACGACTTGTGGCTCGTTCGTGCATACACTGCGGCTTACCCCCACACTGTTAACCCTTGGTCTGTCGGGCCAGTCAACGTGCGGTCGGTTAGCAGATCACATTCGGTAGACATCTCAGGGTCTCCAAAAGGTCCAGCAATTTGTGAGATATGTCGATGTAAAGCCGTCAAAGGAGGTCGAGAATCCTTGAAGGGGGGTGTTACGACCCTCTCGGATAACGATACAGAACGAACACCACTTAGGAACTCAGGAGTTCCAGAAATTGAGCCTAAAAAAACACGATATTCAACAACTTGAGCACCATTTGTGAGCTCGGTTAAGAACCCCTACACTAAAACCTATATATATAGCGGCCTTTTGTAGCATGAACCTTGGAACTATGAACACCTTCCTCAACCGAAGCTATTAACATAGGTTCTTAAGGGCGGGCGCGTTCTGAAACGATACATACGTTGCTTCTCTGGTCGTTCCTGTGTTGTTCACAAGTTTCTCTTGGCTGCCACATACGTGTTCTTGTTCTTCTCACAGCACCATTCGCAATCCTCCCCCCAATGATGGAAATATCTCAGCCGGATCGCGTGGACGGGGCAGTCAAAGGCAGAGTTTACACTGACCGTCTTTTGCTCCGGCGAACCATGTTCATCGATATCCCCTTCTGCGTTTTCTGGACGGGTTCGCTTTTTTGTTTTGTGCTGTTGTTTGGTTTCGAACAGGTAGTTTCTTGCACGCGGACCAAGGACAGAGGGCGATACCTACCGGAGTGGGTGGCATACCACTGGGCGATGGGCGTGGACGAGATGAACATCTTCGATGATGACAGCGTAGACGACACTAGAGAGGTTCGCATTCTTGTGTGACGTTGGGCGACTGCGATCGGGTGGTTGTCTGGTCTTGTTCTGTTATAGTGCGGTGCATGTCGTGGGACGGCGGTTGGTGTGTGGAGTTAGATCGATGCACGGAATGTGTTGTCTAGAAATTGGCTCGGACGGCAACGTTGGTTGATTCGGGGCGACCATTGGGACAATCGTGCAGTCGGTTTTTGGCAGCCTTTCCGGTGAAGTAGTCTATCGGAACAGATGGCTTTCTGATCGCACCGCCTCGAGCTACGGAGAAAACGCGTGTGGCGATGTTAGCCCGGTACATGGAGGGCTCCAGATCAACACTTGCGTCCTTGGGATACACCGCCATCGATGATTTGGTTTCATGGCGACTATGTAGATCCTAGGCGTCCGCGGCTTATTCCCGTTATTGGAAACACGCTTGCATTGGGGCTACCTTGCTACTACGGTTTGCTGCCTTCCATGCTCCTCTCTCTCTCTCTCTCTCTCTCTCTCTCTCTCTCTCTCTCTCCCTCTCTCTCTGTCTCTCTCTGTCTCTCTGTCTGTCTCTCTGTCTGTCTCTCTCTCTGTCCCTCCTTCTCTCTCTCTCTCTCGCTCTCCTCTTGCTTGTTTCTCTATCGTGTTTTGTGTACCTGTTGCTCCCTTTCTCTCCCTCTCCCTCCTTCTCTCGGTCAGGTAGGAAGACCATTCGTATCGTGTGTGTGTTCTCGCCATGACCATCGACACTTTCTCCGCCTGCCCCCCCCCCCCCAGGTACTAGAACCTTTCGTGCGCGCCGGTATCGTCAAGTTCCAGCGCCGCCATATCGATCCAAGAAACGCAACAGCCACACCACGATCGGCCGCGATGCCACCCCTCACCGAATGCGTAGAGTCGTATCGAGGGATGCACGACGGGGGGGACAGGTTGGCTCCACGCTGGGTGGTGCTGTTGGACACGGATGAGTTCCTGTGGGCCAGGGAGGCGGGCGAGATAGGCCTGCCGGAGGCGCTGGAATCGCGCTCGACGACGTGCTGCTTGCAGGTGTGCAGTCAGTCCCCGAGAAGAAATGTTTTTCGGTTTTTTTGTTTTTTCTTATGGTCTGTTGTGAGTGTTGAGCACATTGTTTTGGTTTTGTGTGTGCTGCTGGCATGGTGCTGGCATGGTGTTGTACGGTTGTGCGGAAAGGTGCCTTCCGATGTTGTTGTGATATACAGAGGTTCATCCCCACAGCCTACTTCGGGTTAGATGCGACTATTTAAAAGCATCACGGATGGTTTTGTCCATATTTGACACTGACGAAACGCTTACTTGAATATTTCACGGAACCATCCGCGTGTGGCGGACATAGAATCAACCGCCATCTCTGAGCCACGCCGTATCCGCGAGAGATTCGCGTGTCAAGGTCACAGCAAGACCAAGGCACCATTGGCATTCTCCAGTGCCTCACTCCTGTCGATAACTTGACTGACGTCTTGACCAGTCCATCTTGATGGACAGGTCCTAGCACGATACGGTTGTGGTTGGCGAACATCATTTCGTAGCTCGAGTCCAACGCCTCATCACTAGCCCCCCTGCCATGCTGTGTTTTTCCTCCGCGCCCCTTGCATGTGTTTTTTTTTTGTTTTTCCATGTTTTTGATTTTCTCTTTTCTCTTTTTTTTTGTTATTTCCTTCCGTTCCAGGTGTCGACGGTACAACACGGAACCTCAGGGTTTCCCAAGTCTCCTCGGGGCCTTTTGTTGGAAAACTTTCTCACTCACGCAGACCCCACGTCGCCGGAACTGAACGGCCCCCCCAAGGTGCTGTATTGCTTGAGTTTTTTTCTGGTCTTGTTTGTCGTCTTTCTCTCTTGAGGGCTGGTTGTCTTAGTGGCCATTTCTTCGAAGCATCGTCAATACCTCTTGTCTACCATCCTTGCGCCTCTGAACGCATTGAGATCGATCACTTATGGTGTGACGTGGCCTCTAACGCTCTAAGACCGAATCCGGGGGGTGTGGGTCAATGTTCGGCAGCTTGCTGTCTTGAATATTTGTCTTCGCTACAGCAGTTCGCAATTGGTGCGGGCTGGAACGAGTACAATCGATGTAGGTGATTCTTCGGAAACGATGGTGTGAGTTGAAAGAGGTGCTTCGGAAAACCTCCCGGAACCTTTCCGAGTCGAACTTCGAGTCCCGTACCGTCATTTCTTGTTCCCGCTTTAGAAAAAGCGCAACCACTTGTGTCGCTCAATGCCAGGCTCTCAATACCGAATTCGAGTCAACTCCAGCATATACCAATTAACCATGGCCGTTTGCCCACAGAGTCGTCGCCACAATCGCGTACGGTGTGTCGCCATGAGAGGCCGCTCAGGTTGCTGACGTTCTTGTTGTTCCCGGCATTGTCTTCCGCGGTACAAGGTTATCTTGAGGTTCCGGGACGACGCCAGTGGTACAGCATCTGAGAGCTCGGGCGAAGATGTTAATCCTCCTGTTTCGGTTTCGAGCTTTCTTGGTGATGGTGATGGTGGTGGTGTGACGGAGATGAGAGAAGGATGCCGGTGTGAGGAGGCGGGTGTTGGGGATTTTGCAGTCCGGCGGTATCCGATGACGCGGGAGGATGTGGCGGCGAGGGGGAGGCGCTACAGCACTGTGGTGAGGAGATAAGGAAATGGGAGAGAGCTATATACTAGTGGAGACAGATAGGCAGACAAGACAGGGGTAAACAATACAGACAGAGAGAGAAGGAACGAGACAGAGAGATATATTTGTATATAGAGAAACATGCCAGACAGGCAGACAGACAGACAGACAGACAGACAGACAGACAGACAGACAGACAGATAGAGACAGAGAGACAAAGAGCGCCCAGACAGGCAAAACAGGGACATTGGTGTGATGCACTTCGGAGACGAGGGTGTTGTAGCACACCAGTAGTTGAACACAGCAGTAGTGGTATGCAAGCCAGGACTAGGGATCAATCACCTCTAAGAAACCGGTTCGACCTCCTCGCTCTCATCGCAACCACACCAATTCACGCCGCCGTCTCTCCGTATTCCGCAGCTTCAGTGGCAGCAGCAACAGCAACGACGAGCGATGACAAGAGAAGCTGTTGAGTTCGACGAATCATTGGAAACCGCAGCTCTGAACGACCACAAGAGCGATGCGATGGTGGAGTGGAGCTGCGTGGTACGGCGGCTTCTAGACAGAGCCGCCAACGGCAAGCACCTCGTGACCGGTCGCCCACAGGCCAGCCTCAGCCCGCACCACCCGATTAGCCATGGTGAGGATGGCCATAAAGGAGTCGACCTCTGTGTTGCGTAGGAGAGCCGGCCATGGGCAGAATCATGTGGTGGTGGTGGTGGTGGTGGTGGTGAGAACATGACCGACCACACAGCTGCTGGGGGCTATCGCGGGTTGAGGAAAGTGTGCAGCTTTTCGAGATGACCCATACTCGCGAAACCTGATCCCACTCGGCGAACACGACACACGTTGAGTTGACGGAAGGAAGGACAGCACTCTTGAAAACGCAATTAACGAAGAAAGTTGAAAACGCAATGAACGAAGAACCCTTCGTAGAGTATTGCTCTTTCAAGCGGCTTGTACACAAACAGCGGCCTGTAGACAGAACGGCCACCGCTTGGGATGGTGTGTTTTTGCCTTTGGCATCGACCGCGCTACCCAAGGGAACCGTATCAGTCTCAGTGCCTAGACACGAAAATCGCTGTATAAAGGTAATTACCTGTCTCTGTCCGTTATTGGGGGGGGGTCGCGCACCGTTTTTTTTCGCCCAGGCGCTCGTGCCATGGACCCTTACGGGGAGGAGGAGTTGCGGCGTACGGAGGCGTGCATGTCGGCGGTGCGTGCGTCTCCCGCTGCCGCGGACACTGCGTGGGGAAGCCCAGACTCGTCGCCGGAGTGGCTGCAACACTTGTGCTTCACTCGGTGAGCGTCGCACAGCAGCCTTACAGATAGCGTCCGCCCTGAAAAGCTTGGCAGGGAAGAACTTTCTGCTCAACATTGTCGAGGGACATCCACCTTACAGGAGTCAATGGCAGAACACACAAGACAGCGGGAAACGTACCACCGCACGATGAGTCGTCTACAATGTACCCAGTGATGTAGACGTAGATAGCTAGCGCCCAAACTCGGAAGAAGTTGGGAGGTAAGAATGTTCATGTTCCACATTGTATGGAACATGAGCACCATTTGTCAGCCATGTCGACCCCGCATGAGTCGTGCATGTATACAGATATAGCTAGCGCCGCACTTGGCAGCTAAGAACTTTCATGCGAGCATTGTCGGCCCTGTCGACACCGCACGAGTCGTCAATGCGATACAGATAGCTAGCTCCCACACTTGAAATAACTTGGGGAGGTACAAACTTCATGCTTCACATCATAGGGAATTTGAGTACCTTTTGTGAGCCCGGTGTTACTACCTGTTATAACAGAATAGTAAAACCTATACTCTTATACTTATGGCGGCCGATTTGTAGCCCATAAGAGGAAGTACTGCTGTACTGTAAGAACACCAGCCTCGGCGAAAACTAGATGCTCGTAAGAGAGGGCGCTATCTGTGTACTCCTTTGGTTTTGGTTGTCTCATGGAAGGGCGTTTTTGTGGCACGCTTGAAACGTTGTTTTTTGTGTGAACGCTTCCGGCGTTTGTCATCGTCTTGTCTGTTTTCTGCCGTTCGCCATCGAGTTGAACATGTGTTGTGTGGACCTCTCATCACGTTACATAGCATCTACCTCTCTCTGGTGCCCCTCTCTCTGCCTGAATCTCTCTATCGCTCTCCGTCTCTTCCTCTCTCTCTCTCTCCCTCTCTCTCCATCTCCCTCTCTCCATACACAACAGGCCCCATGCCACCCACGCCTCACACCGCAAACCCTCCAATAAATAACATGTCTTGTTGTCGCACGTTGGACACCGGACTCTCGCGCAACAGATACGTGTTCGTGCACTCCTTCGAGGACGCCGGAGAGGCGGCGGTCATGCGGTCACTAGCCTCGCACCCTTGGGTACGGGTACATGGTGGACAGGGCGCCGTAGGCGGCGAGGGGTCTTCCTTAACAACGGTGTTTTCATCACCGCGGGAGCGGGAGGGCATGGCGGAGACGGTTTTGTCGGAGGTAAGCGATTGTGACCCTTGCCGGTAGTGCCTTTTTTTCTTGAAAATATACATAATCTCACAGAAACACTACCCGTTCGAGACAATAATTATACGATAACACCACAGCAGTCGAAAGGGGTGTGCTCAAGTCTTCTTTGGGTAGGGTCAGTTGTAACATGCCAGTTTTAAGGGCCACACACTGGTGGCGGGGTGGGTCCAGGCAGGAGGTAAACGATTGCGATCCTTACCTGTAGTGCCTTCTTTGGGTAGGGTCAGTCGTAGCATGCCGGCTAAATGCGGTTTGCGGGGGTGGGTACCTGCCCCCGTGGGGTGCGCCTCTGATTGCACCCAAGCTTTGCTGTCTAAGAATACGTTTCCGTATGGAGTGTTTTCATCGTCGTCGTCGCTGTTGTTCTTGTGTTCTTGTTGTGTGAATCGATGCGTGCGCCCACCCGATGGTGGCTAAATATGCGTTTCTAATTTGTAAATCGATGCGTGCGCCCACCCGATGCTGGCGAAATGTGCGTTTCCATACTGTTCATGTGTTGGAAATGTTGTCTTTGAGTGAACCGATGAGTGCGCGTCCAAGCTACATGATGTCTAAGAATGCGTTTCCATAGGGTGGGTGTGTTCGTTGACGTTGTTGTCGTTGTTCTTGTGGTGTGAATCGATGAGCGCGCCCACACCATGGTGTCCAAAATGTTTTGTTTCTTAACTATGTGTACTTTGGCGTCGTCATTGTTGTCGCTCTTACTCGCTCTTGTGAATCGATTGGTGCGCTTGCAGCTGTGCGGCTGTTCGAAGGAAGGTTCGTCCGCTGCGGGGTGCTGGCGTTACTGTCCCGATCTTCAGCAGCGCCTTCTCGCGCCAGAGGAGATCAACGGGGCGAGGCGACAGCTCGTGCAAGACTGGTTGCTCCGCGTCAACTTGAAGGTGCGTACAACAATTGCTGTGTTTACTGTTGACCGTGGTATTCAAAGGACAGCTTGAAGGTCCAAAGAAGTGATTTTTTTGTCAAGAATGGCCGTGGGGTTCAAACGACCACCCGAAGAAAATTAACAGATTTGTTGGCAAATCGGCCACTCTTTCAGTGTTGTTTTTTTGACAACTTGTAGCAGGTTGGCTCGCATTGCACCAAAGGCCACTATTCTCTTGTCTTTCCCTCTTGGTCGAATGACCAAATTTTATTGAGCTCTGGGCAGCTTTGAGGGTGCACATGGTACGTGCTGTACGGGAGACCCCCGGAGTTCGGTTTGACCCCGGATTGTCTGCGTGCGTGCCATCCCGTTTGTGCTGGTCGCCACGGTTTTCGATATGCACACTACTTCATCAACAACAACATTTGCTTCCTTTTGCACCCTATTCTGTGCCTCCAACAGAAGCAGCAGCAGCAACAGCCCCAATAACATCTGCTGCCGTCTCCTTTCACACCATGCTCTGTCCCTGTCCCCTGTCCCCCTCAGCCCAAGAAGCCGGCAGTGGTGCTCGTGGAGAGAGACACGGACATGCTCGTGGCCTCCAAGCAAGGCCTCTTCCCCTTCGTCTCCACTTCCTTGCTCACGGTCAGGCACCCCATCTGTACCACCGCCTTGGAAACGGGCGACGCTGATGGTAAAACCCGGGGTAGCATCCATCCCAGTTGCCATTCTCACATGGTTCATGTTCTCTTGTGATATCGTACTACAGCAGTAACAAGTACTTTTGTACTGATATAAATAGGTCACGTGGCATGCACCACCCTGCCCTCAATTGTTTTGGGCTTGTGGAGAAGTGGTTTGAGTTGTGCTGTACCGCCGCTGCGGAGCCGGCAAAGTGCTGCTGCCGAACGATGAGTCTTCGAGAAAATAACGAAGAAAAGCTGGAGACATACGTTCACCGCACACTTGTTACTGTGGTTGTACCTCCAACGAGCAGTTTCTTTGTAGACTCTTTTCTAACAATCTTCCTCATTGTTTTCAACAATTCCGGCGGGTGGTGCGGGATCTGACAGGCAAATGTGGCACCGCGGCGGGGCTGCGTGAGTGGCGCGAGGTGTGGCGGCAGGTGCTTATCGAACAGGTCCCTCGGACAGTTAACGGGACCATCTGGGTAGTCAGGTGAAGAACTATATATATATATATTTTATTCCGTTCGCTGTTTTCTTCTTTTCGTGTTGCGTTGGTGCTGCTTTTTTTTTCTGTATTTTCTGGGAATTGTAGATACGAGAGGTGCTAGATGCTATCCACAAACATCATGTCCGACTCATGATGAATGTGTATCCATGGTTCCCCTCTCTTTTTCTCTTCTCTCTCCGCTGATTTCTCTCTCTGTCGCCTTCCCGCCTTTCTCCCTCTCCTTCTCCTCTGCATCTGTCTGTCTCTCTCTGACCTCTCTCTGTCTGTCTATCGTATTATCTCTCTCCCTGTCTTATCCCATCGTTATCTCTCCCTCCCTCGGTCAGGTTCGAAGACCTTCTGTCTCAAGAAGAAAACGCCGCTTCAGCGCTCTGGGCAGCCGTCGGCCTTCCTCCCATCTCCCCCTACCTCCCCCCCGCCACCACCAAACCCGCCGTAATCCCAATCTCCAAGAAGCGGCGCGATCAACAACACCTACGACGACGTCGGCTACAACACCAGACGCTGCCACAACAAGAGCAGCAACAACGGCCGCTTGGTAGTGGAAGGCGGCGGCGGTTAATCATGGGGGACGCCACGTCGAGAGCATCGTCGACCGTGCGAAACACGGCCATCCCGACAACGTGTAGGCTGCGGATTGGGGCCTGCGAGAAGGATCCCGCCTGTAAATTGGAACTTTTGCGGTGAGAAACAGGATCAACCAACCAACTGTATGCAGCAGTGAAGTGAGATCGTTCTCGTCGAGGCCTGCGGAAAGTTTGGCCGTCTCTCGTTTGACCGAGTTTAGACGAAATAGGGCGCCCGCCTCTTTGGTTGGGTTGCGTCAAGCATCGTTAGTGCGGAACACATCGGGGGTACTACTAATACGCACTTTGTAGGAGTTTCAACGCCCTGTGTAGAGATCTGGATGCCTTCGGGTGTCACGGCAACGCCAGCTGCAAGAGCGACAGGCACGGGAGCAACAACAGCAACAAGGACAACCATCGAAGGCATTTGTGGCTTCCTTCCGCACCGTTTGCCCCGATACCACTCCCTTCATAGCAAGGTGTACATGAACAGATCCATATTGTCCCTCTCCTTTCATACTTCGGGTTATAAACAAAGCCTCGCCTGCTTGATCCGATCGCAAGCAGACCTATCCTGATGTTGTCAGAGCTTCCATGTGGCACCCCTCGCCGCATGTTCGTTCCTCGCTTGGATGATCAGAGGAGACTTGCTTTCCTCACTTTTCAAGCACCGCCGCCTCTAGAGCACTCGGGGGGCAGATTGGACAAGTGTGCAAGTGTTTTCTTTCTGTGTGTGAAGTTGGGACTCCCTTCCCCCACTCGAAGTTGCTTGATCGTCGACCAAATGACCCACATAGGTTGCCCGAGATTCCATGCCCCCTGGACCGATTTTCGAAGCTCCTTTCCTCCACGACCAGGAGGATGTCATGTGAATCATGTCAAAATTGAACGATTTGTTATCGGTGACCTCTCCACCAGACGCCTCTAATGCCGTCATTTTTAGCACGGCCGCCGCTGCTTCTGCTAGTTGTGCTGCAGAGCAATCGAAATTTGATCGGCACAGGGGGGGTGGTATCTTCTGCAACCTGTTCATGGAAGACATGATCGTCGAGAAGGAGGGTGCAGGAGGGTGCACCTCATCAAGAGGACCGGAGAATGACCAACCATCTTCTTGAGACGATGATGCATCGGCAATGGCCAAGCTTCTAAGGAAGCTTCCAACGGAGACAAGCGTAAAACAGATAGATGCTAATATTACCCTTCAGTCCCTCGTGGGTCTGACGACTAACTATCATAGATACCGGGTGTTTTTTTTTGCTGATTGGTTGATCGTTGCTCAGGTCGGCGAGCCTCCTCGACTTCTTCGGCTACGGGGGCGTCGGAGAATTGCTCAACTCTCAGCGGTTTTTGTGGGGAAAGGTGCGCCCCTCGTGTCCGCTATACAAAAAATACTGAGTACGGCGTTGTAGATTATGTTGGTTTCCCGTGCCTCCTCCCAATTGATTTCGGTTGTAAGCCGGGAGAGAAAGGCATTGCGCCGACACGAAAATTACCGCAAGTTGTTCCACACAACACCGGATTCGGTTACGGTTCGGGGATTTGTGCCAGCGTAGTCGCGGCAACAAAACATTGCCCAAGGGCTAGGTCACTCAGAGACCTTTGTCGCAGGCCAATCGACGGGCAATATTTTTTGGTCAAGGCGGTTTGAGCCCAGACTGGAGATCATCACCACCATGCACAGGCGTTCGAACTACGATCATAGGCGTTGTACTTCTTTTGGATCCGAAATATAGTGAATGGAACTGACAGACACCCCCTCTGATCCTCACAGATGTACACGAGGGTGTGTAGCAGTTGGTGCAGTCGGCGGGGGCCCTTTCTCGACGAAAAGGCTACTTTCTCTCAATTGCTATATTATGTCCTCATGTCCCGTTTTGCCTTCGGCGTCGGGACTTTATCCTTAGGAAGAGCGGGAGGAATGAAAGCACGTTAAAAGGCGGTGAATTGATCGCCCCCCCCCCCCCGGGCCCCCTTAGGGCGTATCAA